TTTTGTAAATAGAAAGACCTATTCCACATTTGCAAACCACCTCTTAGCAGAAGGACCTGAGTTCAATCATGAATACGACGTATTACATCTAGAAAAGAAAAGTTTGAAACTCAATCTTCTAGAATGTTTAAAAATAAATAGATTCAGCAATTCGGGTAATTTAGTAAATGAGCAATTAGAATTGAATAACTCCCGTTACTAAATATTTTTTCAAATGTGAAAACTGGGACATAAGCTCAGGTTTGAAGGCCATTGATTTTCAGAATATCTTTTTGATTAAGAATTCCTTCTAGATTAAGTAAAACGTCAATAACATATTCATTGATTATTTTCTACCTGCCGTCATGATGTTTGTTATTCTTGAATAATAACAATATTCGAGAATAACAATATTCAATAATAACAATATACCAGATAAACATTACTGACATATCAAATAGTTACGCACTGTTGAGACACCCAGTATATTTCATTTGAGTTACGGATAAATTATTCAAAATACGCATCTGGAAATGATGAATCGTTCGAGCAAAGCTGAGTTCAAAGAATGAATGCCTGCTCTCAAAACGGAAGCTTATCTACAGACTAATGAGAGCATTGATATTCTTAAATTAAGAAGACTTTGCCAGCAATATTTCGTTCGTTCATTTGCCATCATCAGTCCAAATTACCAAAGTTTAAGCTTCCTTTTATTTCCTGCCGCGGAATGAATGTTGTTCTTAACTTTTGTAGACAGGTATTCTAGAAACAGCAATTATGCGAAATGCCTCATCATCCTCAACCGTTTCCCTTTTTTGTTGAAATGCAAAATATCCACTTATATCTGCAGTCTGAATAATAGAAACAGCTCAGGGAGATTTAAAAAGTTTTTTGGCAATACTGAATCAGAACAATGTATTTTATGTAGTTACTCGATAGGTTCAAGAAGTTTAACAAAGGGATTGGAAACTGAATAAAGTGCGAAATGAATTTAAAACTTTTAGTTAAACCTCTGGGGTATGACTCTTTCCAACCGAGATTTTTTTCATGTTGACGTCGAATGACTAAAAGCTATCCCGGTTCGATGATTGGATACGTTAACAAAGACATGATACTCACAATGTTGTACCTCAAATATATTCTGTGAGGATTGATTGTTTCTGATGATAAAGAGTAGTAGTTCTACAAAAGAATGAAGAATTTCACGAGTTCATTGTTAGGTTTTATGAATTGTAAATCCTAAGCCAAATGTATTATTTCTTGTGCCATTTTTAACTTTGATTTTCGTCGAATACAACTGAAAAAACCGAAAGGCATTCCAACAAAGGAACTCAAATATTGTGCTTCATTGGTATTTCCTCAGTTTCATTATTTTAACAGCCATTGTCTATCCAATGTATTGTTTCAAGAAAAATGACTAATATTATTTATTTTTATTGTAAACAATTTTATAACCGGTGCGTTTGTATATGTCTCCACTTCGAATTGTGCATCATAGATCTACACAGACATTTTCAATATTCAAAGGGAGAAAAAAGTGTGCTCGTTTTACTCATTGTTCCTTTTCATTTCATCTCCACCCCCCCTTTTTTTGAGACACAATCATCGCTCACTCTGAACCTTCCTATTCTATCTACCTCTTTTTGTTGCTATATCTGTATTTTCTTCAATAGTTTTTCATTTGCGTCATTATTTTTTGCTTGTTTTATCGAAGTGTAATATTATTATTTGGGATTTGCAAAAGAATATCGGTAATAATAATGACGAATCAACTTTCATATACATTACAAATAATTCAAAACTGTTACGATAGTTGAAATTGAAAATTCCAAATTCCATCCATCTTTCACTTGTCACTCATCTTTCATTTTGAAGGAATACCCTTTCACTGATGAAGTCATCATTGCGTTATTAACCTCTTCATCTTCAACTATCCCTACTTCAGAATCTACAACAGGACCCCTATAATTGATACATCATTTGAAAAAAAAATTATCGCAAACACATTTGTGTCATGCATACTCGACTCGAAATACTCGACTATTCAGAATTGTATGATATCATCTTGAAAATCTCTACTACTTTCACTTTATATCGGGCCTCCACATTTTGCAGAACCTGAACTTCATTTTCAAACAACAATTCTTGAGGAAGGTGGGTTGGGAAGAAAGGATCAAAATACTACTCTGTTTACTTGTTTCAGTGATTTTTCGAATCCTCGAAGTAGTTCTGTTATGCACTTTTTTGGTATGCCCTAGAGCTGCCTCAGTGATTCGGTTTTCATCTCTATACAATCGTCACCAAACGCCGTCCTTTCATGGGTCTCTTCAATCTTGGGAACAGGAATAAGTCACAGGGTACAAATGTGGTGAATATGGTGGCTGAGGCATGATTACGGTGTTGTTTTCGGCAAAAAAATTACGAAAAAGGGATGATGAGAGAGCAGGTGCGTTCTTTTTTGGTCTTGGCCCTCCTGGGCTCTTTCATTTGGACGATGTCATAACCATAAAGCATTGATTCGTCACCAGGATCGCCGTAGACGTAATTCAACAATTCTTGAGCGATACTCATGCGACGTTTTTTTTTTTCTCGAAACTCAGCAATTTTTAAACGAACTTTGCTGACCAAAATTTCCAAAAAAATTGCATGATATGAGCCAACCGATATGCCGACATCCTCACCAACTTCTTTCATAGTGATTTGAGGATCCTCCAGAACAATTTCCTCCACTTTCTCAACATTTTCATTGGTTGTTGATGTGTTGGGGTGAGCGATGTCATTCACTTCTTCTCGCCCTTCTCTGAAAAGCTTATACCACTTATAAACATTTTTCTCACTCACAGTACAATCATCGTATGTCACTGTGGACAATTCAAGTGTTTTTGAGCACTCGATGTTTTTTCTATATTAAATTTGATGCAAATTCTTTGATCCATTTCTTCGATAACAGAAAATCGCCAAACACTCAAAACACTTCTAACTTTTATGCATCTCACCAACAAACCAAACATGCCAAACAGCTAAAACTATGAATATATGTTCGAGACAAGTGTACCAACTCGAAAAAAAATAAAAAATTGCTAATCGAATATACGTAGCTCACGAAATTTGAACTTTCACCTAATTTTTTGAACAGCACACTATAATAGCCTACTTCATCCCCTGATTCATCATCATTAGGTGTAAAACACAATTTTTTATCGTACAGACCAATTATGTAGATGATTCACTCACAATTGAAGAGTTGCTGTGATTGCAGAAGTTTAAAGTAATGAGGTGTAAATTTTTATTGTAACTTATTTTCCATCTAAACTTCTACAACACTGAATCCATTCTCAATTGCATCACAATCATTATTATTGCGAAATAAAAAATAAATATTGTTTAAAAAACACGCTTTCAAAGAACATCGAACTAAAAAGTTAAAAATTTTTTTTTAAATATGCTCAAAACAATAACGAACGAAAAATAGTGGTATTATTGTGTAAAGAGCGACGGGCGCTTGATATACAAAAAATATGGCACAAAGCGCCCACGCTTTTTCACAAAACTACTAGTATTTTTCGTTCGTTATTGTTTTGAGCTTATTTAAAAAAAAATCAACTTTTCAGTTCCATGTTCTTTAAAAGCGTGTTTTTTAGTTCTTTAAACTATATTAATTTTTCATTTTTTAGTTTCGTATGCTATAAAAGCGTGATTTTTAGTATTTTTTAACCATATTCATTTTATCTATCTTTGGGATCAATCAGCCGTATATTTTCCGATTCTGGAATACTTTTTTCAAATGAAGAAATACATGTAAAGTGAGTTCGAATTGTATCAAGGGGATTACGTACAGCGTCGTCTGCCCGCGAATAGATCAAGCAATAATATCGACATATCAAGGAGGTTACGTATAGCGCCATCTGCCCGCGAATAGATCAAGCGATAACGTCAATAGTTCTCTCAAATACAGATTCCGAGCTTGAGAGTTACAAACACACAAATATACATGCATACAAGTGAAGCTAATAAAATCGTGTTGAAATAAAAACGGATCCAAGCCTATTTCGGGTTCATATACGATTTTTAATTGTGATGAACTGTATGTATACAAGGACACTCATATCTGAAGACGATATACTTGTTGGTGAAGTATACAGAAATAATACAGACATTGAAAGTTCAGTGAGAACTCAATGCCTCCACAACAAATCGAACTGTTTCCTCAAGGACAAAACACACGCACTACAGAAACATTATTGAGGCGCTCTAAGAGCGGTGCCTGTGCGAAAGTAGCGATTCACGTTGGATTTGAATCCCTGAAGATCGAATTCAGTTCGAAGAGCGTTCTCAAGAAGTTCATTCCACATAAACGCAGTTCTTCAAATGGAAAAGTTGTTGAACAGGAAAATTCGAGGTGTACTGAGTTGAACCTCCAAACGATGAGCAGTCATACTCCGTCTCGTATTTCTGATATGTACCCTCTTGGTGGAATCAAAGGTGCCAAGTCACTTGAACACCTCACACGCAAGTATCTATAAAATAGTGACAAATCTTCAACCTCTCTTCAATATTCCAAACTATTAAGGTTGCAAGTGATGTTTGTGTCTCCAATCAGTGTTTCATTTCTGTATGGAATCTAGCAACTTCAGGGTATGCTTGGGGGCGAAGCTACAAACATAAGAACAATACTTCAAAGAAAGGTCTGATCTAAGCTTTATAAAGCATCAAAAGTTGCTGAGATGTGTAGTTTTCTGGTTCGGAACAGTATGTTAAGCTATTGAGAAGCAGCCTTTGCAACTTCAGCGACATGATTGTGCCAAGACGAATTAGTGTCCATTTCAACCCCCAACAAACGTATCGAGGTAGAAAGCCGAATTGTCTGTCCCAACATCATTATAAACGGTTCGGAGGCATTTATTTTCTTGGAGGAAACCGGTGCCCGAGTATTTGTGACATTGAATTGACCAAAATTTACCAGTATCACTCATAAGTCTTTTTTTCTAGTGAATATTGAAATGTATTATCATTTTTTCCAGATCGGAAGAGCAACTGTCAGAGAATCCCGCTCCCTAAGACTCGTCCACGACGTCCACCTCAATTCCCATCGTGAAGACGCCTCGCAGCAACCCCTTCTGGTGATAGGAAATGGTCGTACATACAGCGTCACCGACAACTCTCCCAAAAGAGCCATCATGGGGGTCATCCAGAAAGCGGCGTTGATTAAAAAATCTAAGAGCAACGGATCCATCACCACCAACGACGACTCTGACGAGCAGATCTACTGGCTGAGACCGGCTTTGGTACCTTCCCAGAATTCACCAGACGGTTCCAACTACTTCTGCTGGTTCAAAAAGAAACCGAAGCATAAAGTAACGTTTGATGATAGCACCACCATGTCGACTAATCGGTAACGTGGATTTATCTATTAGGCTTTGATTGTCGTGTACATTTTGTATAGTTATTGTGATCTGCTTAGTTTGGTTTTTGTTGATGTTTTGGAAGAGTTTTTTATTTTGGAATTTTTCCCTGTTTATATTTTCGTTATTAACACTAGATATGCACCAGCTTGCATCAGTTAGCGCAGTAGATTGTTCGTCTTTTATATCTTGCACCAATAACTTTCTCATTGAGATACTTTTTCATATAAGGACTGACAGGAAGCCACAGAAGCATGTTCATTATTTTCAAACATTATCATAATACGGTTTACATGCTTAAAATAATTGTAATTAGAGAAAGCTGAAGATGGCTTCGCAGTATTCGCAGCGTTGAATGAAATAAAAATTATTTTGTCTATTCATAACTATTCCCAGTGGGTCGGATATAATTGTCACTTGATGGTGAGAAAAATCAGCAGAAAAATCGCGTTTGCTAAGATCAATAAACTATTGAAACATAAATTTACAATTTTTCTCAAACGTGGTTCACTATATTACAATTGTTCGTTTTATTTTTTCATATTATGTTTCAATACTGAAATAATTTCGTTCTTCCCCATACCTTCAACACTATACAATCAAATTCACTAGTGTACATACACCAATACACTATTACACACATACAATACAAAAACTATATAGAATAAAGAAAATACTTTTGTCTAGTTTCTACTGTGTTTAATTATTGCATGAAACATGGTATTCAACGCAAAACCCAAAAGGAATAAATGGAAAAAATCGGACATATACAGACTAGAATGTAGGGATTGCCCAGCAGCTTATACAGGTCAGACAGGCAGAAACTTCGACATAAGATACCGAGAACATGTATTATCAGATAAAGAATCAGCCATACATGGGCATCTAAAAGAAACAAACCATGCAATAAATAAAGAAAACATGAAAATTCTTCATACATGTAACAAAGGAAGGGACATGAATTCATTGGAAGCGTTGGAAATAAATAAATTGTACAAGGACCCCAAGTTCATAACGCTCAACGACCAATTTAGGAATTTTAGGATCCATCCAATAGTTGGTAATCGTGACATATTGTAATATTGGTAACGTGTTAGGCCAGGTACCTGTCCACACTATTTAAGACGCAACTTGACAATTTGTGGTAGTTACTTGAAAATGGCCTTATAAGCCGAAACCGGTAGTAACGAATGAATAAACACAGTAGAAACTAGACAAAAGTATTTTCTTTATTCTATATGCAACATGAATTTTTACAAAATAAATGAGTCATCAATCGAACGAGACAAAAACTATAACCGAACCTGAGACTAATGTTCGAATCGCCTCCTTTGCTCAATTCGTACTGCACTTTCCGAACTGGAAATGACACGGCGTTCTAGAAGGTCAAGTGGAGCTGAGCGTGACCTTGACTCGGAGTAGCAGTCATCATGTAAATGATTGGTAGGTTTGACGGCTCCATGATAGGGCTCCGCTCGAAAATGAAATCATTGATATGATGTTAATAACATCCAAGGAATATTTTGTTCGCCTCCTTGATTACTTGTTTGAAGATTCGATGTCTTGAGTAATCGAAACAAGTTTGACTGAATGACCAATATTTTCTATGATCAGAGCTGTAGAGTATTCATAGAGTGATAGAAAAAAAAACTGCCGAGTTCAGTTCGTGGGATATTCTCTTGATATTTTGTTTTGTCGTCCCGCCGTAAAATTGAATCTTGGATGGAATTTTGGAAGGCTTGTTACTGCTCAAAGTGGATGTGAGTTTTCCTTGGAGAAGGTGGTATTGAATATTATCCACCTGCCGTGGATTTTCGTAAAACGTAGAAGGCTATATATTCAGATTACTTTCGACCTCAATAACTCCATCATAACTAGTTTTTCTGGCTTTGGAATAAGTAGTTCCAATCATCAAATATACATTGAAAGATAGGGATAATACTATTACCTACAAATTTAAGATATTTGACTTGAGGAAAGCCAAAGATTGGAGAATATTTGGACAAGGTGAGGTCCTTGATGTAACTACCCCAAACATCAATATTTTTGCCTATAATCAAATAAATAAAAAAATCAACAGATATAAATACTGCTTATAAATCCATAAAAATAATTTGTTTCAATTGGATAAAGAAAGTCTTGCCTCATTATTAAATTATATCTGTCTTATGATATCTTCTTCATTCACGTATAGTCAGTGGGCATACTTGAAGACTGGCTATAAATCAAATCATCTAAAAGAACAATTCGTTCAGGCCAGCCTCAACACCCTACACAGTAGGTTAATGGACTGACACCTATCAGAAAACAACTACTCCCCTGGCTAATACCACGAAGGGCGTTGGATTATATCCGATTATTGCGGCAGTTGTATCGCCAACAGCATAGGCAGGAATAACTTCAGTGAAGAATCCTGCACTGACACCTGTCGGATATAATCCAACGCCCTTCGTGGTATTAGCCAGGGGAGTAGTTGTTTTCTGATAGGTGTCAGTCCATTAACCTACTGTGTAGGGTGTTGAGGCTGGCCTGAACGAATTGTTCTTTTAGATGATTTGATATCTTCTTCAATTAGGTAGAAACTTGAAGATATTAATTAAGATGAAAGATAAATATTTTGGCACATAGATAATCTATTTCAATTATATATTCTTGTTCCGCAGTTAATTATGTTCACAGACATAAATCTATACCTCTCTTCTTTCTTTTTCGCACATCCTGGAATTCACTAGATCGTATGGAGAAATATTTTTACTATTGAATATTTAGAGTTGTCTGAGTAATATTCGAGAAGTAGAAGCAGACTTTTGAATAATATGATGGAGAAATATGAATTGCCATCCCGAAAACCAAAAGGTGGACTTCTGGAAAAATTATTTCGCTTACATACATGCATATAAAGCCTTTGGACGTATATTGATCGATGTATCTGTTGATATCTGTTGAACCGTGATGTTGAAATAGATGAATTCTGATATTTTTATCTTCTTCACAGAAAACCAGACATGAGAACTTATTTCATTTTCTGGAACATTAAATATCGTAGGATCTATAGCAGTTGTTTATTCAATAAACAAGCAACAGTTTCAAAATTGAACTTTGAAGTAAACTTGAAAAAGTACTTTCATCTCCTTTCAATGGTATTTTAAAAACCGACTTCAACGAGCGAAAATGCATAGTGACGTTATATTTCAAACTACACATTTTCTAAGATAAGTATATTTTTTGAAGGCTACTTTACAAAATAACTACTTATTTTTCTCCCAGATAAACTGAATAGTTATAAATTATTCAGGACAGTAAATTGATAGTCGATACCAAAGATAATGAAAATAACAAACTATTTTATTCCCTTTGAAAAATTCTGCTATTCATATTCTGTTGGGTGGATGATTAATTTTTAATACCTCGCCGTGAATGATAAATCCATGGAACAGAATCATATTTTCCGAATTACCTATAACATCCATTTAATTTACAAATTAACAGTGATTCATAACCTCATTATGGCATCAACGTTTTCCCAATGACAAACATAAAGCACCAACCACAGTTGCATAAAATAATACCACTAAATTAATACTATAAACTATTGATTTGAAATGATATACCAAATTTAAAATGAAAGGAGTATATTTTTAGAAAAGGTTGATTTTTGAGAAAGAAAAGTTTCGGCATTCTACTTCTCCATCTTGATACAAAAAAAAGGGAATTCTCCATATATTTTCATAATCTCTTAGAGAAAAAGCTGTTATTGATTTTGTGGCGATATAGTGAGACTATTTTATTTTCACCCTACAATTTGGATTTCGTATAAACTGATTCGAATATATTTGTATGACTACTTATGAGAAGTGAAATTGGACGGATATATCTGGTTATGGCCGTCCTTTGAGTAAGGCTGAAGAATTCGAAGGCTACAAAAAAATGAATTTTACATAAAATTTTATTTTATTCTTCAATATAGTTGCAATATATAGGCGATGCAACGACTATAGTGGTCGCAAAATTTTTCGATGCCATTTTTATAGTACGCTTCGTCTTCAGCCTGAAACTAGGCCTCAGTATGACCAGCAAACATCTTGGGGGGTCTGAAAATAGGAAGAAGTAGCTGAGAACCAGGTCTGGAGAATATGGGGGATGGGAAAGCAATTCGAAAAGCATTTCATGTAATTTTGCCATCGTTGCCATTGATAAGTGAAACAGTGCATTGTTTTGATGAAACAACACTTTGTTTTTCTTCAAATGCCGCCGTTTTTCTGCGACTTTCCGTAATTCGAACATTCCAATAACGCTGATGATATAACCTTATCAATAATTCGTTGTTGTTTTTGGTCTATTGTGAGCTCGCGTGGTACCCACTTTGAACAAAGCTTTCCCATACCCAAATATTCATGCACGATCTATATCTTTGTATCTGTAGAGTAGGGAGGGTGAGTGTAGACCTACAGCACTTAGGCCACATGTGACCTATTGTACATCCTCCGGAGGAGTTGTCCTCCTAGGTCATCGTTCATCCTGTCCTTTCCAGGCAAATGGACAGATCACTAGGAGACATATCCTTTATATCGGCAGGTGAAGGCCAAGACTCGCCAAACACACTCTCTTTGGTAACCTTGAAGTGTCTCACGGCGGCCTTCGTGAAGGTTTTGGAAGGTGCAGCGACATTAATGTATTTGCGCGGCTTCTTCAACCTTCTTGGTATTCCCTCCGTGGAGGTGCTCAAGGAAGTACCCTTGCTATTGGAGGTGGAGTGGGGGAGAAGAAGGGTACACTTATAGTTGCTGCCACTCCTTCTATCGCTCTCTTTCTCTTTTTGGCCTCGGTTATATCACGAGGTGATCTGCCATGTCCAGCCTCATTCCAAGTGGTAGATTGGTGCGGACATTTCTGTTCATCCTCAGCCACCGCCATAGATTGAGGTGAGCATTTCTGTCCAACCTCGGGATTGGTATTTGTTTTTTCAGTGTCTGTTTTTGTGTTTGTTTCA